AATGAGTTTAGATGTTGATTGCTGAGAGCTTAGATGCTTGGATATTTACGTTAATGAGTTCATGGAATATTCCTCTTAACACTCCTATAATGCCACCAAATCCTATACTGCATACGAAAAAGAATGGTAGTCATAGAGTTTTAAATTCTTTGAACTCCCATCAAATAGTTGTAAAGTGATGGCCAAGTATTTTTCAAKGTTTGATGGGTCTCTCGACATTCAAAGAATTTGGTAAGTTTGTTAAGACTAGTGATCCTACGGTACTTGATGTGTYAGTCAAGATTGACTAACGATCAAAAGATTCTATCAGCAGAAATCAGAAGTTAGAATATGCTMCCAATCATGAATACTTTAACGAGTTGTCAGAGTATRAATGGTTTAGGAATAGATGGATATCTTAGGTAATGGAGTGCACCAAATGAAACGTATGTTTTCAGTTTCATAAATTGTAAACTTGGGACGTAAGGTTTGAAGGATGGGAGACCCATTGTGTCTTTTCTTGGTTGTTCCAACTGGGAATGCGTAAGACAAGGTGATATGTATGGGAGTGGTCCGAGTTGGATGCAGTAATGTTGGTGGAAGGATTCCAGATAGGTAACAAAGCTATTCACATTTTTTCATTTGTTGTTTTCAARCAAAACATTAGATTTTTTTGAATATGGGAGAGGAATTTGTCTAATTTCATTGAAGTTGTTAAAGTTTCATTATTCAAAGTTTTATTTCAAGGGAGGATGTTGGTGGAGGTTTCAATAGTGGACTTGTAGAGGATGTTATATGAAATTTTTGTGCGTGCCTTTAGCTTTTAACATTAGAGATGGTGATTTGTGGAGGCCATGGAGTGAAAGATATTGGGAGTGGATGCAGGAATGTTGGTGAAAGGATTTCAGATAGGTAATAAAACTTTTCACATCTTTCATTTGTAGTTACTAGTTTTCTTTTCAAACAAAACATTAGATTTTTTCGAATATGGGAGAGGAATTTGTCTAATTTCATTGAAGTTGTTAAAGCTTCATTGATCAAAGTTTAATTTCGAGGAGGGGAGGATGTGGAGGAGGTTTCAATAGTGGATTTGTAGAGGGTGGTATATGAAATTTTTGTGCGTGCCTTTAAGGTTTTAGCATTAGAGCTGGTGATTTGTGGAGGCCATGGAGTGAAAGATATTGGAAAGTGGAAAATGATTTCTTTGTTTAAAGGAGAAAGATTGTAACTATTTTGTTGGTAACTGCATACCATTCTTACATATATTTATTTRCCAGTCTTTTGGATAAGWACAGTACACATGGAATTTGAACAGTACACCAATAAGTCACACGGTGAGATGGGACTACACATCTAGGTTGGCGGAAGGGTGCAGTATCAGTGTTGACCGGCAAAGTTGATTTGGAAAATTTGAGGGAATAAGTTGAATTATGATATGAATTTGTTGCTAAGATTGGAACGAGGGAAAACATGATGGTTCTCCAAGAATGTCCCTTTGGGGACATCTGATCTGAGGATGGTTCTCCTAGAATTATGCAGARTGAGAGTAATTTTAGGTACTTGGGGAAGGATTTCCAAATTTAGAAATAGAATTGGAACATAATTAACTTGGAGATGGAAAAAGATCTCGTTTAAGATACTTGGTATGGAGATGAACCCTTGATGTGTTATTTTCAAGAATTTTTTATGCAACTAATATTTTGATGTGCTGTGATTTTGTGGGGAACTTTTGATATGAGAAACTAGTGGTAGGAAGATTCTATATTGAGGAAATCTTATTTAAGAGGCCTATGAGTTTGTCGCACTTATAAATAGTGTTACTAATTTAAAGGGATTAGTAATTTAAACAAAGGGACCCTACTAACTAAAGAATTTTGAGATTTTATTTTTGGATGCATAGGTTAAGGAACGTTAAGTTACTTGGTCTGTTCAGGTGACTAAACAATTTTTTGGGTGGTGGAAGGATGTGGTATTGGCACCATCATTAGAAGTTGGATTGAAGAATGAATTTCTATTGGCAAGGTGGAAGTTGAGATTTCCAATGGAGCAGGATGAATAATTGCATTAAGTCTGGCTTGGAATGCACAAAGTAGTATTAAGAAGAATAAGAAGTTTTTAAGCTACTTGGTGGAGGATTTCAAGGTAAGAAATAGAATTGTGGAGCATAACCTTCAACCCCCTCGTAATATATTGGTGGGTGAAACAAGTATCGGTATTAGCATTCTGAGGTTTTCATGGAAGAATAGTTTTTTTTTGCACTTTCCAATACTTTGGCTCAAGTATAGACAAGTTAGGATTTGAAGAATGAATACCTATTGGAAAGCAGGATTTCGAGATACGCAATAGAGCAAGATTAATTGTTGCTTGTAAGTTTCAAATGCATGAAACCATGTGGTTCTCTAAGTATTAAGAAGAATGGGATATTGTTTAGGTACTTGATCAAGGATTTCCAAGTTAAGAAATAGGATCATATAACATAATTAAGTTTTTTAAATATGGAAAAGGAAAGTTGGATTTAGGATTGAAGAATTTGGGATTGAAGAATTAATTAGTATTGGCAAGTTGGATTTGGAGATTTCCAATGGAGCAAGATGAATACTTGCATTAGGTTTGATGTTGCAAGTGTTTGGAATGGGCAGAAATAGGATGGTGCACAAAGTAGTATTAAGAAGAATGAGAAGTTTTTTAGCTACTTGATCAAGGATTTCCAAGTTAAGAAATAGGATCAGAGCATAATTAAGTTTTTTAAATATGGRAAAGGAAAGTTGGAWTTRGGATTGAAGAATTAATTAGTATTGRCAAGTTGGATTTGGAGATTTCCAATGGAGCAAGATGAATAMTTGMATTARGTTTGWCGTTGCAAGTGTTTGGAATGGGCAAAAATAGGATGGTGCACAAAGTAAGTATTAAGAAGAATGAGARGTTTTTTAGCTACTTGATCAAGGATTTCCAAGTTAAGAAATAGGATCAGAGCATAATTAAGTTTTTTAAATATGGAAAAGGAAAGTTGGATTTAGGATTGAAGAATTAATTAGTATTGGCAAGTTGGATTTGAAGATTTCCAATGGAGCAAGATGAATACTTGCATTAGGTTTGACGTTGCAAGTGTTTGGAATGGGCAAAAATAGGATGGTGCACAAAGTAGTATTAAGMAGAATAAGAAGTTTTTTAGCTACTTGGTGGAGGATTTTCAAGGTGAGAAATAGAATTGTGGAGCATAACCTTCAACCCCCTTGTAATATATTGATGGGTGCAACAAGTATCAGTATTAGCATTTTGAGGTTTTCATGGAAGAAATTGTTTAGGCACTTGTCGATATTTTGTCTCAAGTATAGACAAGTTAGGATTTGAAGAATGAATCCTCTTGGAAAGTAGGATTTCGAGATATACAATGGAGCAAGACTAATTGTTGGTTGTAAGTTTCAAATGAGTGAAACCATGTGGTTCTCTAAGTATTAAGAAGAATGGGATATCGTTTAGGTACTTGATCAAGGATTTCCAAGTTAAGAAATAGGATCGGAACACAATTAAGTTCTTTAAAAATGGGAAAGCAAGGTCTCAAGGTATTGGAAAGCAGGATTTCGAGATATTCAATGGAGCAAGATTAATTGTGGCTTGTAAGTTTCAAATGGGTGACATGTGCTTCTCTAGGTATTTAGAAGAATGGGATATCGTTTACGTACTTGATCAAGGATATCGAAGTTAAGAAATAGGAACATAACATAATTAAGTTTTTTAAATATGGGAAAGGAAAGTTGGATTTGGGATTGAAGAATTAATTAGTATTGGCACGTTCGATTTGGAGATTTCCAATGGAGCAAGGGGAATAATTGCATTAAGTTTGTGGTTGCAAGTGTTTGGAATGGGCAAAAACAGGATGGTGCACAAAGTAGTGTTAAGAAGAATAAGAAGTTTTTTTAGCTACTTGGTGGAGGATTTCCAAGGTAAGAAATAGAATTGTGGAGCATAACCTTCAACCCCCTTGTAATACATTGGTGGGTGCAACAAGTATCGGTATTAGCATTTGAGGTTTTCATGGAAGAAATTTTTTTTTA